GCAGCGATGGAGCAAGTGGAAGTTTGTTATTCATTTCCCATATGGTTTTCAACAAGTCTCCTAATTTTCCTCTGCCGCCAACTCCCCATTGGAGAATGGGGGGGGGGGGGGGGGAATACTTCTGTGTGAAGGACTAACAGGAAGACACAGCTTGTTTCTCGAACAAGCTATACTCTCTCCACAGGCACATGACCGGGGCTGTGAGGGCTGGTATGCGAGCGAGTCAGCATGGGAAAATCCTAAATGCACCTGGAAAGAGACTGGGGTGTAATTTTCAGAGATGGTTATTGAATGACAGCTTCCCTCTCGGTCCAGTGAGAAATTTAATTTGCTGAGGACTCAACACAGGAAGCATTTGCCGATTAAAAATATGTCTAAACAGATGTTCTGCTTAGCCTGGAAGAAGGATCTTAATGCAACTGTCATTATTGGATTTTCTTGGATTACTACTATCTGGAACCGGAGTCCAAATAGAAGGATGTAATTATTTATTGTGGCCAAGAGTCCTGCATTTGAAGAGGAGTTCAGGGCATCTGAAAGGATTTAACATGTTGGGGGCAGGGTGGGCTGGAGGAAAGAGTCCTTTTAAATTCTCTGGCCCTGGGAGTGGACCCTATGCTCTGAAGAAGCAGAGCATTTGTAGCTCTTCGTGTCCCTTGACCTCTGAAGGAACAGCTGTGCCATAAGCAGGACCAGGCGAGACTTCCCAAGGTAAAATGGTGAATTTTCAGTTCGCCAACCAATCACTGCAAAGCTGGTGAAAAACATCTGAACAGTCCAGCCCTCTATTCCGGTCATCTCCATGATGAGCAGCCCATACCTTGCCCATAGTAATCCAGAGACTACAGAGAAGGCTCTTAACCAAGAGGAGGCAGGGTTATTTGGCACCTCAATTTTCCAAGTCAGCTCAACAGAATCATCCAGGGAGCTTTTTTGAAAATGGTGACATCTAACCCCTGTCCTGAGATTGTGACTCAATTGGTTTAGCATGGTATCTCAGCATCTGTACTGTTTCTAAGTTCTCCCGGTGATCTGAAAGTGCAGGAAGTGTAAAAGCCATGGTAGAGCCCTAGAGCACAAGGCATTTGGAGTGAGGGTCTTGGGCTCCAAATAAATAGTTATTCACCTCTTCCACCCCAATATTTCCTTCCTACTGTCTGGTGGTGTCATGTGTGCTGAATGACAACAAACTCCAGGGAGCCTGTCACTGTAAGGCTCAGTGCAAGTTGTGAGGATCAAGATGACAGTCCAATGGATAAAAGTGCTCTGTCTGGGGACAGTGAAGTGAGGCTCAGTCATGACACCAGGTCTTATGGTGGCAGGACAGGCAGGGTTTGGGGATGATAGTGATTATGTTTGCACCCACATCTGCAAGGTCCCCATTCTCTAAAAGGACCAGATTGTATTACTGTTTGTTCAGTACCAAGTCTGTAACCTCTTTTCTGAACAGGGACCCAGAAATCCCTCTCAGTCCAGAGTCCCAGCTCCCCTGCTGCAGGAAGCACACCCGTGCCCCACCCCTATTTCCTTCCCTGATCCCCTCATCAGTCCTAAAAGGCATGTGGACCCCTCATCTCTGGGTTGCGGGACTCCTTGGAGCAAGTGGTCTCCCAAGGGGGCTGCTGTGTAAGCAAGTCTCTGGTCCTCAACACCCCCCCAACACACATGCTGGACACACACATCAGGGCTGAGGGGGGAACCACGGCATGCCAGGAAACACACCTGTTGCTGGCCAATGGCTCCTGGGCTCCCTCATGTCTTTTCTTCTGCAAAGGGCAGTCTCTTTTTCTGGGGGAACTGAGGGGCATTCAGTAAAAGATGGGTTGGGTTTAAAGGAGAATCTGAAGTAGACATAAGTTCTCTATTTTCAATCCAGACCAAAACAACCAGGAATCCCAGACTGGGCCTGTTATTATCCTAGAGGGCCAGGAGGGCTAGGCTGGTGCAGCCTTCACTCTTCTCCCACAGACTTCTCTGCTGCTATTACACCAGGGGACGTCTTGGCCTACACTTGACTTTATCCTCTTCAAACAACCGGGGTCATTTCAGGGCCTATGAGCAATGGAGTTAGCCAAAGGCAGGGGTGTGGGTCATGGTGGGGATGCTGGCATTCTCTTTCTTTTTAAAAAAAAAAAAGAAAAAGAAACAAAACAATAAGGACTGGAGAGATAACTCAAAGGGCTGGAGTGCAGATTTTGCACACTAGAGCCTTAGGTTTGATCTCTGGCACTGCATAATTTTCCAAGCACTGCCAGGAATGACCCCTGACACTAAGCCAAGAGACATTCCTGCACACTGCTGGGTATGGCCCCAAACTAAATAATAAACAAATGAGGAAAGCCCAAGGAGAAAGCTCAAAGGGGTGGAGCACACACCTTGCTACCTTGCCAAGTTTGATCCCTAACAATTGCCTTCCCCAGGAACCCTCAGGTGTGGTCCTAGAGGCCCCCAAGCCTGGGTATCATTATGCCACCTGCTGCATACAGCTGCATACAGCCCTGGGGGCACCAAGCAGTGCTGGGGTCTCCCCCCAAATTCGACAAGAAGAGCTCTTGCTGCTCTATGAGCACCATTCACCACCCAGCCCGAGGCAGGATTTAAGGATTTAATGGGCTGCAGCAGGCGGGGTCCTTCCTGTCCTTCACCGTGTTTCTGTGCAGCTGTCGAGCAGCTGTGGGAACCCAGTCCAGAGGTGGGTGATGCTTGTCCAGAGCTGGAGAACACAGTCTTGGAGGTGAAGGTCAGAGAAAGAAATGGAGGAGCTCCATGCACTGAGCACTTTCGATGTTCCCAACACCTGGCTATGCACTTTACTTCAGCAAGATTTCTGATTCTCTCCAGTCCTCATAGAAAGGAGTGGGAACACTTTCATAGGTCAGACCCACCACGTGACTGAGTCTGGATTCAAACCCAAGTGTGTTTTGCGGGTGCAATTTTATTTTGTTGGGTCATTTTAAACCCAACAAACTCATAAGCTTTGAAAACCCAAATGACGTCTACGGCTGGGGAGCGGATAAGAAGGAAGCAGTGAAAGAAGCGACTCTCAGGGTCGGGGAAGACAACCCATGCAGATCTTTTTTTTTTTTTTTATGATGGGGGGGGTTAGGCCATACCCTGTAGCATTCAGGATCTACTCCTGGTCATATGCTGGCAGTGCTCAGGGGAACACATGTGGTGCAGGGGATCAAACTGAGGTCAGCCTTATGTAAGGCAAGCACCTGTTTGATCTCTCTGGCCCACCCATGAGGATCTTAAAGGGGATTCTGACACAGTCCCAGCAACATTCAGTGTGTATATTCACATGTCTACATGTACACCTCTATGGCTACACATGCGTGTGTGTGAATGTAGGTGCATGTGGGAAAAACAGAAGACTGCATATAAAGTCACTAGTATGCATTTCTGGGAATGGATAGAAGGATAGTAGGATAGAAGGATAATATACAGAGGAAAAAATAAGGAAGATGGTTAAATTAAAGGGGGAAAGGAGGTAAGAATGATAGTATAGTGGGCAAGGCATTTGCCTGGAATAAGGCCAATCTAGGTTTGATCCCCAGTACTGCATATGGTCCCCCAAGCACTGCCAGAAATGATTCCTGAGCACAGAGCCAAGTGTATGTCCGGAGCGCCTCTAGGTCACTGTCACTATCCTCCCGTTGTTCACTGATTTGCTCGACCAGGCCCAGTAATGTCTCCATTGTGACAAGTATTACTGAGTTTGGCATATCGAATACATCATGGGTAGCTTGCCAGGCTTTGCTGTGCAGGCGAGATACTCTTAATAGCTTGCCGGGCTCTCCGAGAGGGGCGGAGGAATCGAACTCGGGTCGGCCATGTTGGCTGCTTGTAAGACAAACGCCCTACCCACTGTGCTATTGCTCCAGCCCAAGTACCTCTAGGTATGATCCAAAAAAAGGTTGGGGGAAGAAGAGACTCTACTAAAATAAGTATGTGATGATATCACATCTTTATTGATGTGAATTTATATATGTATATATAGATATGCATGATTGTATGAAACTATATATGCATATGTAAGTGTAAAATATAAAATAACACTAAAGCAGAAACATAAACAATGATTTCTGCATCATCCTTATATACACTTCCCTGAAACACAGGGCCTTGCCATTTAAAACCTATTCCTTATTGCTGTGTTAATTTGCAAAGAAGAAATGTTCTACCAGTAGTGAGAGTCCTGTGGGATGCAGGACAAACAGAGGCCTGCACCCCACACTCTGTCCTGCAGACTCCCCTCCAAAATGGGTTTCTGAACCAGGAAAGTGTCCTTGAAAGCGAGGTACTCCAGTAGCTACTTCCAAGCTGGACCCTTTGAGTACTTTAGGATGCTGTTTTGAAGTCAGGGATGGAACTTCCCGGCAAGTACTCCCCAAAAGTAGGCTCCATCCACAACATATAACCACAAACTAAGTTTCCCACTCTGGCCATCAGTACTTCCTCACAGTCCTACCCCGCACCCCAGCCTGTCTGCTTTCCTTCATCCCTTCTGCCAGGCACCTCTTCCCAAAGCTCCCTGTTCTTCCTCCCAGACCTCAAGGCATAAACCAACCACTAGCAATAAAAGTCAAGCCTGCAGATGGCAGATTTAACACAGAGCCGCACAGACCCCGAGCCACGGAATGCCAGCTACCCTTCCATCCCTCTCTCTGGGAACCTGCCCACCTCACACAGTAAAAGAGCTTCCTCATGCCCATAGCCCAGGGTGTTCCTACACAGAAACTGCTGCAAAAGAGGTTCCCAAAGCCAAGGAGTAGGGGTAAAATGGGAGGGAGAAAAAGGGAGCCACCATTCCACAGATACCGGATTTCCCGTAGGAGTAATAAAAATGCTCTGGAAATCGATCCCGGAGATGCTGCACAGTGTGTGGGGGCTTACTGTCACGACACTGTACATGTCAAGATGACAAGACTTATGTTATGTGCAATCTGGGACATCCTTAAAAAAAATAGTACCCAATGGCCCGGTGTGGTCCCACATACCTTTTCTAGCTTCTTCTCCGCTGGTATTTGCAGCTGTGGTATTGGGCCAGCTCGCAAGCAGCTGCTCGTCCAGCCCACCTCAAAGACAAGAAGAGACAAAACATAGTGAGGATGTGAGGCCTTCTTTACACTTGCACCAAGACAGGACCAGACACATGCTGGACACTGTGTTAATATGGGGACTCCAAGTTCTGGGAATGTAATTGGTGCAGCCACTTTGGAAAACAGTATAGAATTTTCTCGAGAAACTAATGATAGCCCTGTCCTACCATGCAGGAACCCCCTTTCTGGTTCATGTAAAAATAGGAACACAGCTACACCCAGCCCGATATTTGTTGCCACATTATTGATAAGAGCAAAATGACGGAAGCAGCTGGGTGCCCATCGGTAGATGAGTGAATAAAGCATGTGTGGTCTCTGCACACAGTGAGATACTATCCAGCTAGAAGAAAAGATGAAACTTTGACTTTCACAGCAAATGGAAGGAGCTGGAGGGCATTGTGTGAATCAAAATAAATAAATAAATAAATAAATAAGGAGGGAAAAAATGTGTATTGAATGATTTTTATCTAGGTGTGTAGGATAAAAAGATGGAATTGAGAGAAACTCAATATACCAGTCAATATACCAGGTGTCAATATACCAGGGACACCAACAACAGAATTAAGTACTGAGGGGAGAGGGATGGAGGTGGCAAATGTCGAGGCAGGTGGGGGGTGTGGACATGTAACAAGATGCTCTAGGATTTCAGGATCCTCCAGAAATGCACCAGATAGAGCTACCTGGAAAAACAAAACAGAGAAACAACGAGAGAAAGAGGGAGAGACAGACGGAAGGAGCAAGGAGGATGGGCAAGTCCAAATGCAAATAGAACATTCTGGTTCTGGGGTCCCCCAAGTGGATGCGCTTGGTGCTGCTCCCAAGCGTGTGACATGATCAGTGACTGCTGTGGCAGCTTCACAGGACCTTTTGGCTTCCTCTTTGGAAGGAGCCTCTTTTCAGAAATTGCTCTGTTTACCTTATAAGTCAGACTTGCAGACACTACCTCAAAACCAGCAACATCTCTGTGTTTGCCAGTAGCCTTCAGCCACATGTCCCCTCCAAGAACATCAACCACTGTTCTTAGACCTGCCTTCAGCAGGGCCAAGGACTTGGCACCAAGGAGTCAGTAGGGAACAAGACAAACAGGTGCATGCTCTCTAACTGGGAGGTGGGGCCCCCACACAGGAGGAAGGACGACGGGGACTGAAATCATGCAGGTTTGGACCGTGCCAAGAAGACCAAATGCAGGTTGTGATTAAAGCAGCTCGAGAAAGCACCTCGGGGAGGTGACCTGGGGAGGAGCTGGACCCTGCAGAGGGGAAGGGGTTCACTCACAGAAGGCAGGACGTAGAAGACCCAGAATGGGGAGGGGCAGACAGCGACGGGAATGGGAGACAGGTAAGAGGCCAGAGCAGGAAGGCAGACCTGCAGGGCTAGGAGGGAGAGCAGGAGGAGGCAGAGTCCCAGGAGAGCCAATAAACTAGCTGAGAGAATGAGGAGGGGCGCTGATGACCTGCAACTGGACAGGGGAGCCCGTTACATACATACAGGAAACCGCATCAGGGCAAGAGAGCACAATCTGTGCACCAGTGAAAAATAACTGATTACATTTGACTACAAACTTGCAGCTCACCAAGTGGTGCTCTGACCAGGTCAGGCTGGACCCTGCTGAGCACATTTATAGCAAAGCATCACCCCACTTTGCAGAGGAGAAAACTGAGACACCAATTGATGGCGCCGTGGGGGAAGCTGAGGGCTCAGGATGGTTTCCGGTGAGAAGTCTAGTGACCTCTCCTGGGTCCCACAGCAAGTGTCCCGACCCCAAGATCCCGTCCATCCCCACACGCAAACCCCCTCTGTGTCTCGAGCCTGTGCTGCGGGCTGCGGGCCAGGCGTGCGCTGACGTTTTCTGCGGCTTTTCCTCCGGATCGTTCCGCCAAGTCGGAATCCACTCACACACTCCCTGCAGCTGCCGGGGCCGCTGCTGCCAGCTCCGGGCCCCCTGGGTATTCTCCCAGTTGCGATATCATTTCCTCTTGGGCTAAAGGTCAGGGGAAACCCTGATGCTCTGAAAATCACAGGCCAGAGAGGAATGTGCCCCGTGCAGTGGGGTGCGTGGTGGAGCGAGGCGGCGGGAGCTCCCGGCTGGAGATGCTCCAAGCAGGGGTGGGTGCCGAAGACCTCAGGGGCTCCTAGTTTCCGTCCGTCAAACGGGCCGCCGTGAGGACCCAGTGAGGTCATGGGTTTGTTTAGGCACTCATTCATGCGACAAATATTTATCCCACACCTGCTACATGCCAGATGGGGTTTCGGCAGCCTCGGGATACAGCCCTGAGCAACCCCACCCTGACCTCAGGGCAGTCCTGTGCTGTCAGAGGACAGGGGAGAACACGATAAACAAACAGGCAGCCGAACACGTCAGCGCCACTCGGAGCAGTGTGAAGAAGGGGGTGCCTGGTCGTCCTGTGAGGGACAAAACAAAACCCAGCCAGAGGAAGCAAGGCCAGACACCCCCTAGGGAGGAAGCAGCAGGGAAAGGCCTGGGTGTAGGTGCCTGGGTGCTTGGCAGCAGGAGGACAGGTGGACCTGCCACAGAAGGGTCCAGAGAGAGAAGGCCCTGGGGTCAGCAGGCAGGAGTGGGCTGGAGGGGGCAGGGCCTGCAAGGGGGCTATTCAAAGAAATCATATTTTTTTCTTTTTGGGTCATACCCGGCGATGCACAGGGATTACTCCTGGCTCATGCACTCAGGAATTACTCCTGGCAGTGCTCAGAGGACCATATGGGACGCTGGGAATCAAACCCGGGTCGGCCGTGTGCAAGGCGAAAGCCCTATCTGCTGTACTATCGCTCCAGCCCCTCAAAGAAATCTTAAAGCGAGCCAGTGGGTAGGAAGTAGATTTGTATCTACACCAGCTTTTTTGGTGGGGGAGAGGGGGGCCACTTGAGCCGTGCTCGGAAGGTCTGCCGGGGGGCCATTCGTGATTCTTGGCCAACCAGACCATCCGTTCGATGAAAGGACCAGAGGATGCAATGCTTCTCAGACCCTGTAGTGCCAGCACAGGGCTGGGGGTCTCCAGGGCTGTATCCAGTGATGCTTGGGAACCACCTGGGTCTCTGGGCAGTGCTGGGAGCCTCCAGGGCTGCATCTGGTGATGCTCAGGAACCATGTGGTGCCAGGAATCAAACCTGGGTCAGGTGGTATGAGTGCTTAAGGCTATACTGTCTCCCAAAGCAACTGCATCAGCTTTGCATGGGATCAACCTAATGTGCAATCTTTTTTTTTTTGTGGTGTATAAAAGAGGGCTGTGGCATCTGGGGTTTGAAAGGAGAGTCCATAGAACATGAGCCTGCCACAGAGGCCTGCTTGGCTCCCATCAAAGAGGAGAAGAGGGGTCCAAAGAAAAAGGACAGAAAGGTACCCATGTCCCAGTCTGGTAAGAGGTTGGCTGGAAGCTGCAGTGAAAGGAAAAAGGTCAGAGAGAAGGCAGCAGGTCAGGACTTCTGAGCTCCCTTGGTCCCCAGTGCTTGAAGTTGTCATAGGACCAAAAGGTCTGGGGTGAGGGGAGAGATCAGGCTCCCCTCCCCCCAGCAGATGAAGAAAAGTCAGAACCAGCATTTACCCAACAGGAAAACTGATCCACACAACCAAATTTGTGTGTATGTGTGTGCGAGTAGGTGTGGTGGAGGGGAGGGCAGGGGGCAGGAGGAGTGTGTTGGGATCCTTGAAGGAAGGAGGTGGGTATATTGGTGATGGGTGTGGTGTTGGAATTATGTACACAGGAAGCCATCATCAACAATGTTGTAAATATCAGAAACTCCATAAAAAAATTTTTTTAGGGACTGGACGATATCACAGTGGGTAGGGCATTTGCCTTCCATGAGACCAACCCCTGTTCAATCCCCAGCATCCCATATGGTCCCCCCCGAGCACCACCAGGAGTAATTCCTGATTGCAGAGCCAGAGGAATAACTCCTGAGCATTGCTGGGTATGGAGGAGGGGGAAGAGGAGGAAGAGGAGGAAGAAGAAGGAGGAGGAGGAGGAAGAGGAAAAAGAAGGAGGGGGAGGAAAAGAGGAGGAGGAGGAGGAAGAGGAGGAAGAGGAGAAAGAAGAAGGAGGAGGAGGAAGAGGAAGAAGAAGAAGGAGGAGGTGGAGGAGGAGGAGGAGGAGGAGGAGGAGGAGGTGGAGGTGGAGGAGGAGGAGGAGGAGGGGAAGGAGAAGGAGAAGGAGAAGGAGAAGGAGAAGGAGAAGGAGAAGGAGAAGGAGAAGGAGAAGGAGAAGAAGAAGAAGAAGAAGAAGAAGAAGAAGAAGAAGAAGAAGAAGAAGAAGAAGAAGAAGAAGAAGAAATTTACCTTGCATGCTACCAGTTTGCTCCTTAGCACTCCTGAGCCCCACCAAGAGTGATCCTTCAGTGCAGAGCCAGAAATAAATAAGCCCTGGGCACTAATTCCCCATCTAAGAAAAGAAACCATGTTTATTGTCATTTCGGCAAGGCCCAAGTTCACTACCCCATGTGCTGAAATTGAGTTCCACACTGCTATCTTTGCTTGATTTTAGTCATTTTAGCCTCATAAAGGCCCGACAACAACAACAAAAGGCTACGAAAACCCCATTTTGCAGATGAAGACACAGGGCTGCGGGAGGTGAGGCGGTGCTCAGTGAGGTGACAGTCTCTTAGGCCCGGTGCTCACCCAGGTGACAGCCAGGGGCTGTGCTCCGCAGCTAGGGGCTCACACGTGCTCACCAGGGGGCGCAATCCTGGGCCGTGGCCCTAGCACATTTGTCAGTTGTCCTGCGCTGCCCAGCTGGTCAAGTTGCTGGCAGCGTTGAGTCCCCAGCAGCTGAGCTGCCAGTGTCACTCTCTGCACCCTGGGAGGTGCCAGGAGTCCAGCTCTCAACCTGGTGCTTGCAAGGCTCTGCTCAGAGCTGCTGAGAGATGATTCCCCACTGGCCTGGCTCTTTGCTTTAAGGATTACAGAGGCAGTAAAGGGCTCCGTGGCTTCCATCAAAGACAACCAAAAAATGATTAAGACAGGT